TTCAAATAGTATCCCATATGAGAAGTCAGGACCAAAGTGATGGACAGACCAACAGACTGACCCACATAAGGAAATTGCCATCCATAGAGCTGCAGCTTTAGTAATATCTCATCCTCCTCCTCTCCTCAAAGTCTTTTGAATTGATAAGGTTCTGCTGTAGAAAGCAAACTGTTGTTTCTAGATGTTTTTAATGCTCATTTGTGTGTTAAACCTAACCCCATGGACTAAACCCATGCTGTAATTGCAGTCGTCTGGTCTGCTCAGGGATAGAGGTCAGAGGTCAAGGGTCAGAGATCTGAACAGGAAAGCCTACTCATGCAGAACAACACATCGTAAACAAACCATTACACACCATCTGCAGTGGCGTCAAATCCCAAACCAGCATGCGTATGTTTGTGTAGGTGTGTGTGTTAGTGTCTCTGAAATCACACCCACAGACACACAAGTGAGGATCAACACACACATCCAGACGGGGACAGAGAGGTGACAGAGGAAGTGACCATCTGGTATCTACTGAGGCATCAAATAACCTGCTGAAAGGTTACATTGGCATTATGGATATACTCTGTGTGTGTCCTACAGTGACCAAAATATATTGCTGTTTGAAGCAAATACTACAATTGACTATTTCTGTATTTACTGAAAAATATCTATACACCAGTAGTATTGGATGTATTTATAATTTCCATTACATTATTCCTTACATTAATTTAAAAAAATGTTTTATCTAAAGCTACTTTTTCTATAAATACCAGCTCTACCTTCTTTATAATTAAGCATGAAAGGTATGTAAAATATTCCATTTATCTAAATTCTGTCATAACTCTCTTTCAAAGTTAATTGCTAACAAGTAATTATAACATGTTCTGTCTTTAGCCATAAGTGCACCTGTCAAATTTTGAGGAGACTTTTTTCCCTCTCATACAAAGACACTATGTCTCCCAATTATTTCCATGCCTGCTCTTTTACAGAGTTCTATGCTTCATTTCCTTGGCAGCAGATTTGTTCATATAAAACCTACCACCTCTCTTTCTGTTGCCAAATCTCTGTCTCTTCATTTCTTGATTTCCACCTGTTTTTGCCACATTTCCCCATCATTCCTGTCTTCTCTTGCAAGTCCAGCACCTTGATCTACCTCCTTCCTGCTTGCCATCCTCCCTCCTCATCCCCTCATCCTATATACCCTGCTTGTCTCTTGACATTCAGCGCTTTCTCTTTCTTTTCTCCCACTTACAGTTCCCTGTCTTATCTCTTTTTCCTCTCAACTGCCTCTCACACTCCACACAGACCTTTCGCCCTGTCAACCCGTATCCTCCGCTCTTCTCTCTGCCTCCTCTCTACTCCTTTCCTCAAGTCCCCCCCTTGTTTTTTTTTGACAGCACCAACTCCCCCTCTGTGTCCCTGCTTGATACCCAGCATGCACTGCATCCCTGTCGTCCATCCACCCTTGCCTCACCCTGTATCTGGCTGCTGTCCACATTGCCACCATCACAGGCAGGCAGCCTCTCTGGCATTGCCTACTGGTCTAACACCTGCCACTCTGAAGACACTGTGAGGGAATCACTGTGACAACATGTTTGTTTGTGTTTATGTGTGGATGTGAGCATTAATGAAAGCTTATATAAAGAAAATGTATCATCCACTTTAGAAATTTGTCCTGCTTGTGTGTAGGCCTGTGTTGTCTGGTGTGTTTATCTCTTACTTCTCTGTCTTTTGATTGTTTATGTGAGTTGAGCTGTACCGCTGTTGGCCCGGCATACACCCAGACACATGGATTAGAGTTAGATCTAGGCTGCTTGTCTTCTATTCTGAAATCCCCAGAAGGAGCCTGTTAATTTAGCTGCTATAAATACAGGACCTCCTCCTATCGGGTCACTCTAAGACCCATTGCATGGAACTGGACTGTGGTGACAGCTCTTTTACTCAGTGTGTGTGTGTGTGTGTGTGTGTGTGTGTGTGTGTGTGTGCGTGTGCGTGTGCGTGTGTGTGCATTCCTTAAAATCTGGCTGTCTTGCCTCCAGCTCAGTGGAGCATGGTTTCTGGTGCCACCATTGACAAGGACATTAGGACACAGGCTGAGCTGGCCCTTCTCTTGTTTTTCTCTTTTCTTGCTTTATCCTTGGTTAAAATATATATTTTTTTAACCCTCCTTTGTTTATCGCTTATAACAAATGGTTTTGTTTTGATCAAATTATATGTTTACAATCGTTTCAACCAATGTATTAATGGCTTGATCTATAAAATGCCAAAAATAATGATAAAACCAAGTTTTTCTCCGAAGTAGTGTATCTAAATGCTTTATTTTGTCCAAAGTTATATTTACAATGATGGTAAAGAGAGAAAAACAGCAGATCCTGAAATTTGAGAAGCAGTTTCATATAAAAGTAAGCTATTTGAGAGCTTGAATTGTTTCAACGATTAATCGATTAAGTTGTCATCAGTCAACTAATCAGTTTATCAGATAATTGTGCACGCAATCTCGTCTGTTTTCGTGTGTTTATTTGTTTGGGCACAGGAGTCTCAAACCATGTACTAATTATTGTAAAAGTTGGTGATCTAGCAAATAATTATGCATTTACTGTCTTGCTCTCTTTTAAGACTCTCTCTTTAAAGTTCAGTTAAGAATTCACTGCATAAAAATAAATGCAGCAACTTTGATGAAAGAAAACCAGATCAATCAACAAATTAACTCTCTCAAACACTTGACTCACAAAATTAAATTCTCCACTTGTACCGTTCATACATCCAATAGTTCACTGATATCTATGTTTATGCAGTTGCTGTAATTTGGTCTCCTTTCTTTCACTGTCAAGAGTACTATAATTGCTTTTCAGTCAGTGAAAGTGTTTATTTAATGATGGGATTATTTGTGTAGCTACATTGTGTTCATCACCCACAGTGTAGCCTTTACATGACTCTAGACTGATCATTATCTTTAGCAGTATAAATACACTCAATCATGCTCTCGTTTGGTCTGATTCCTCTGTGAATGAGAAATGCTTCCATATTCACTCTGGCAATATGGGAGCATTTCTAAAGAGAAATCTCCTAGTAATCACCTCTGTCCTTTTAAATGTCATAACCATGTTACCTAAGTGATACTGTAATGCTTGTCAGACTATTATTAATAGTGTTGTAATGTTTTGGTGGTTTGGTTTAGAGACATGGAAGCTGGCTCTTGTATGGGATTTACAGCTGTTAGTGTAGCTTTCACCACCATGCAGAGCAAGTGTGGTTATATCCCAAGAAGCAAGTTAGTTTTTCCAATACAGTGGTTAATCAGAAACCTCATTTTGGAGTGCAGTGTCCAAGCAAGAATCTGTGTACAAATGTGAACTTTTATGTCCAAACCGCAGTCATTCTCCTCCCTCTGTGCCTCTGTCGAACAAAGTGTGGGACTCATGCTAACACAGAGGCAGGTAGAAAGGCGAAAGAGGGTGTGGAGGAGAAGAAAGAAAAGCCAATTGAGGACAGTGAAGTGGAACGGATGGAGTGTGAGAGAAGGCAGAAGAAATTGAGCAGTGAAAGTATAAAAGCTTAAATCAAAAGAATAAAAAATTCATAAGAATCAGGCAGAGAGGGGGAGAAGATTAATGAGAAATATTGGAGTAGAGGAGTAGAGGGTGCATTTATCAAGCAGGGAGAGTGGTGGGAAAAGAAGGGCAAAGGGAGCATTACAGATTATTTGTGGTAAAAGTGTGAGCTTGTTAATGAATCGCTGAAGAGGACGAACACACACACACACACACACACACACACACACAAACACACACACACACACAAACACACACACTCCAGCAAGTCTGCCAGCTGTTTCACACCATTTGTTCATTCATTTATTATAAACACAGACTAAACTTAATGTTTTCCTAATTTGTTTAACCAGGTCTTTAAAGACAACCTCACTGATTGATATTCCTTCAATTGCAGCAATTGATGTGCAAATGCATGATTCAAAGCTGTTTTAGCTTTAAACAGAGCTGCTGGCACCAGCACTCAAGGTCAGCCCAGCTTTGCTTTTGCTTGGTCTTTGTTTGATTCCTGGATCCTCTTGTGCTCTCTCATCCCTCTCACTCTGCTGACAGAGTGGAGAGGGGCTCAGAGATTTGTTTAAAGTCTGGACAGCATCACCAGAGCCAGAACCGTTAAGGTTCGAGGAACCTTTACTGTCTGCGTGTGTGTGTGTGTGTGTGTGTGTGTGTGTGTGTGTGTGTGTGTGTGTGTGTGTGTGTGTGTGTGTGTGTGTGTGTGTGTGTGTGTCCACAATCTGTGTGTGTGTACTATTGCATAAGTGTACAGGGTCTTTTTAATCACAGGCAGGATGGCTTTCTTGCCCCACATACACCAGGTCAAATTCACTTTAATAATATTTTATTTTTCCCTTGAGGAAAAGGACAGTGTCTAGAAATTGTTATGTGTGTGTGTGTGTGTGTACAATTGTGTGTCTGGGGTGTTTCATTTGATCTGTAGGCGTTCAGTGTTTGACAGCTTCATTCATTATTCTCTCACTTGAGATGTGCTGCTCCCTCTGTGTGTGTGTGTGTAGTGAATAAGTTTGCACTAAATGATTCAGCATCAGTGTGACTGCTCAGCGAGGACGGGCTCATTGGTAAGAGGGCAAAAGGCCATGTGTTTGAATATTGTCTGTCTCTCACACACACCGCTGAACACGGGCTCCTGAGTGCTTTCAGAGAGACACCTCACTAACGTATCCACAAGAGATCTATAATCTACTGCAGACTTGCACTCTCCTGTTGTCTTTTTCTAATCTTCTTCTTTCCTTTATTTCTCCCAAAATGCCCATCTTTGTATTGCTATCTGAGAAGTTATGACCATTATCTGCCTCTCTTAATTCACCCACGTCTCTAATAATGTCTTCCTCCATTTATTTAAACGAAAATGTCCTTCAAATGTGTCGTTATCCGTCATTTAAGCCTCATTTTCCTCACACTTTCTCTTTTTCCTTTCTCCCCCCTCCACCCCACCCCTTGTCCTTGCAGGACAGCGACATCCAGAAGAAGATTGACCATGAGATCCGGATGCGCGACGGGGCCTGCAAGCTGCTGGCCGCCTGCTCCCAGAAAGACCAGGCATTAGAGGCGGCAAAGAGCCTGCAGACCTGCAGCACTCGCATCATGGCCTACATGTCGGAGCTGCAGAGGATGAAGGAGGCTCAGGTCATGCAGAAGGTCACACGGAGGTCGTCAGATGCCGGGCCAATGGACGATAGACACCCGTGTAAAGGAAAAGTGGCTATCTCAGGCAAGTACAACCTTGTCTGTATGTATGTATGTATGTGAATTTGAATGTATGAAAAAAAAATTTAAAAAAAAAATTTAAGTTTCAATTTGTAATTGCAAGGAAACATTCATGTATTCATTTTTGGGGATTTGGACATGGACTCAGCAATATATAGGGGAAATGGAATCTTTGTGATCCAATTAGTGCTGTGATTTAATGCAGAGCCCGGGAATGGCTGAGATCCAGCTTCCCATTAGAGGATGCTTCTCCTCTACTTATTAACTGAGGTGAACACAGTGTATTGCAGATGCTGCCCATTGCAGTCTGAGAGAGAGGAGTTAGATGAATGATTATGGAGCTACTCTATTTGTATTGCAGACACACTGAGAGATAATTCACACCAGGGAGGAAGCGAAAGGGGGGTGAAAGGTTTTTTTTTTTTCCATACTGTTCATGTTTTGTTTGTTTTTAGAACATGATGAGAAGGTAAAAAAAATGAATATTAATGAAACGTGAGACTGGGAGCATGTGTGTGTTTGTGGGTGGAGGTTTGTGAGGGCACTGCTGCATGTCTGGTACCCAGCTGGAAAGCATGCTACACCCACTCACACAGATACACACACACACACACACACACACACACACACACACACACACACACACACACACACACACACAGTCAGTAATTAGCTGTAGATACAGTGACTTAAAGCATCATTGGTAGGAAGACACACATGCAGATACACACAAATCAGTTGGACAGTAAGGGTGATTAACATTTTTCTGTTCTAATCCCCTGTCTGTTGTTGTTACAGATCTTCGGATCCCTCTCATGTGGAAAGACACAGAGTACTTCAAGAACAAAGGAGGTGAGGAGCCACCTCTGTATGTGTGTGAGGAAGTTCATTGATGGGTTATTAATGATTTATGCCCCTAGGATTTATTAATGATTTGCTTCTTAGGAAAGCTAATTTGTACAATCAGAGGTGAGCATGGGATTCCTCATGCCTAAAGAACAAAAATCATCTTTTATCATTGCCAAGGGGGTGACATACTTGTGTAGACGTTTAGTTTCATATTTTAGAAATATGCTGACCCATAGAACTGTGCAGACAGACCGTTTGCACAGTTCCTGGAGCTGATCATTACAATCTTTTGCAGCTTTAACAGATATCTCCGTATTATACAGTAACTGATTTTTTTTTAGACATGAGGAACTCCTGGCAGCACAACCTGACCCACTGTTCAGTCCTGCTGGCTTTGCCTCTTGGCTCTGAGAAGCAGCAGCACACAGGCGCTGAACTGGGTCATTATTAGTAGGGTAGAGAATACTGCCCTACTAATAACTAAAAACAAATCTGTTGTGCATTTAAGGAGTTTTTTTGTCCTGTTGGATATTATTCTGAACCAGGTCATACTTAAATGTTTTCATGGCATTTCAGAATTCAATGGTGCACTGAAAATATAACGGTGGTAATCTTTATATTGACTGTTTGCTATCCCACCCCCCCTTGATAGTGTCAATGTGGGTTAACTCCTGTGCAGTCATTATAACAGGCTCAGTGCTCATTCTCTCCTGTGGCAACTTGAATGGAATTAATCTACATGACCTGTGCATATAAATGAACTCAAGAGACAGGTAGTGGACTCTTAACAAAGCTTAATGAGGCTATTAGTCAAGGTCATTAAGCACACCAAGACATAAACTGGACCCAGGAGGCAAGGAGGAGTAAAGCATGTTCCTCTCTCACGTGTCCAATCATATTTTATTTGTTTGAGTGTTGAGCTCATACTTGGAACAATAAGTTTGAATATTAAGCGTCAAGACAGGGAAGCACATAAGTAGGAGCAGTCCACCCGTCTTAGGCTTTTCAGCTGTAACCTTGAATTTTAATGAGGAGTAGCAAAATGATTGAATTTGGTTGTGCAGCAGCAGATGCAGAAAAACAGACAATGGAAGAAAGATAGGAGACTGTCAGGGGCCACACTATATATATTACAACAATGATACTCAAGGTACTATTACTTACATCCATTTCTCATTATTTTTATTTATCATGTTATTTTGGATATGATGGTGTTGGCACAAGGATTCACCTAATTACCCACAGTCGTAGTGAAACATGCCTAATGAGGGTATTACAGCTGCATGCAACATGCATATTCCCTGAGTCAATCACAGTGTAGAAGGTAACTGTTGTTGTTGCCCAGCTCTCATTGGTTACTGCAACATTAGAAGACCATTGTACATAAGTTTCAACCACAAAACAGCTAACAATGGTTAATAGGAATTGGAAACACAGCTGGCCATAGAGATTGCCGAACTGAAACTAACAACAGTAGAAGTGCTTGTCAGCCAAGTGGAGTTGCTGATATTTCAAACTGTAATGACTCAGGTCGTACACCCTCTCTAGCCTCTGGCCTCAACACTTTGTTAAAACAGGTACCTACATCTTGGGGGTTGCAGGTGATGCGGTTTTTGAGCTAAAAAATGAGTTTTCAAGTGATGCAATTGAATGAAAGCTGTTGCAATGTCTCATAAATGTGGTGTTTTTTTGTTCTGCCTTCCCACCTTGTCCTTTGTAGAGCTTCACCGGTGTGCAGTGTTCTGTCTGCTGCAGCTGGGAGGAGAGATCTTTGACACGGACATGGTGATAGTGGACCGGACACTCACAGATATTTGCTTCGACAACACCATTGTATTGTAAGTCATCTGTTTTCCCTTTAACCAAACAGCCACATACAAACTTTAATACTCACAAAAAACACGGCCTGTGGGTGACACTGATGTGGTCATCACATGTATTCTTTTGCAGTAATGAAGCCAGTCCAGGTTTTGAGTTGCGTGTTGAGCTATACAGTTGCTGCTCGGAGGACGACTACTCAGCAGGGAGCACGCCGAGGAAACTGGCCAGTAAACTGAGCTCCTCACTGGGGCGATCAGCTGGGAAGAAGCTCCGGTCAGCCATGGAGCCTGGACCATGTAGTCCTGTTAGCAATGGAGGGGCAGCTCCTCTTCTGCTGCCAGTTCCTTCTGTACCGTAAGTTCAGTTTAAAATATTAGCTAGTTTACATTATATGCCAGATATATATTGAATAGCGAGTTACACAGTTAGGCATATTTATGGAGACAATTTTCATGCACTCTCAAACATAATAAATTTGTATCTTCTCTCGTGTGTTGACAGGGGCCCTAAGTACCATCTCTTAGCTCATACCACCCTGTCACTGTCACACGTCCAGGACAGCTTTCGCACACATGACCTCACCATCTCAGGCAACGGTGAGTGGCAGCCTTCATCAATCTGTCTCCTCACCATCTTTCTCTTTTCTCTGCCAAATCCGCCATCTGTCTGTTTTTTGTGCTTCTCTCACTCATCACTGTCTCACTTCTCCTCTCTGCGTTCTGATAATTTCCATATTAACCAAGCGCACCATGTGTCTTCTCCCCTCCTCCCCCTTCTTCTTCCCCTTCCTCTCTGTCCTCCCATGTTCTCTGACAGACAGCCATTGTCAAGGTCACTGTAATAAATGCTGCACTAGTGATGTGACTGCTGTGAAAAACTGTAATGATGTGGGCTAACAAGGGCCCGGACCTCAGACAGACAGGCCCCTAGTGTTTTATTCATTGGCCCTTCAGCTTGCTGTAAAGTTTCATTGCTGCACTTCATGACACTCTCTGCAGCTGTCAGTCTTTTACACCCCTGTGCCTTGTTTTGTGTGTTAAAGGGGGGCAATATGACATGGGGAAGAAGTGTGTGTGTCTTTGTGTGTGGATGCACATGCCTGCGTGTGAATTTTGAATGTCATGTGGGAATATTTTTATTTATTAATGGTGTTTGTTTTTGCCCACCCATCTCTGTCTCCCCGTAGAAGAGTGTTCTTACTGGCTGCCGCTCTATGGCAGTATGTGTTGCCGCCTTGCAGCTCAGCCTCAGTGTATGACCCAACAGATGATGAGTGGATGTTTGAAAGTTAAGGTAAGTTGGCAGGTGTGTTCGGTAGTGAAAAGGAAGCAATTCCTCTCAAGGTTTTCATAGATTTTTTTCCTGGTTTATTTATGTCCTTTTCTCCTCCTCCACTTCCCTCCTCCCTTTCTTATGTTGCCATCTCACTTTTGTTTCTTTCCCTGCCTTTTTACTCAACATTTAACTGATCTTATTCTCTACCTTGCAGCAGTTGGGTGGCGACCCTCAGAGTTCGACAGAAGTGTACGCTGTTCTAAAAGGAACAAGCCTTTTCTGCTACCACCGGCAAGAAGATGTGGAGGCTAACGTTGAGCCAGCTTTCACCATTGCCATCAACAAGGTTAGCAAAGGAATCACAGGAAAATTGAGAATGGAGGTCTTCAGAGGTTGATCAGCCTTACCCACAGAGTTGTGTTGTTTTTGGTAATGCCCCAGGCATTGGAAGCATCGATGGTAAGGAATTGGGATTGTGGATTGCTGCCAGTTTGAATCTCAAGCCAAGTGGTAGACTCTGAGCCAAAACAAGTAAATAAGAAATGAGCTCTTCTCTTAGTAACTACTGTTAAGGTGCCCTTGAACAAGGCACTTTGCCCTCAGTTGCCCCAGTAGAGCTGCTCAGAAGCCCAGAGTAGAAAACTGGTTTGGTTGCTCAGCTTTCAGGTATAGCTGTGTAAATGTTCAGCAAGGCTAGAAAAGAGTAGGCACATCTGGATAAAAGGCTTTAAACATTTCTAAATCTAAATTAAATCTGTTCAGTATCTTTTCTTCTCGAGCAAACACAATAAGACACAGCAGTCAAGCTCCATCCAATCAGGAATCATATTTCTATCATCTGTCGGTTTTTCCAGGCACCAAAGTGAAGAACAGTCAGTCAGCCAGTCAGGTTCTTGATCATCGTATTTCCTGTGTCTGTGTCTGAGAGTTGATGCCTGTGGGGATTCTCATTCCTTCCAGAGTGACTCATTCAGTCTTTTGTAGCCTCTGACCCTGATCTCACTGCTGACCTGAAGCCAAGTCAGTCAGGTCTGTATGATCTTTTGTTAGTCAGTTGTCTGGCTCATCATAAAGAGGAAGGAGGAGGTAGCGCACTGTGACAGATGGATGAATGGAGCAACACTGCCATCTAGTGGTCATACACAACGTAGCCACATTTGGAGTAAAACGAGGAGGTGGGAATTGGGAGTCTGCACCTTTTGTTGGATAATTGCTGAAGGGAAATGGTTTGGAAGAGGACTAATTAGTGGCTTTATTAGTGAGGGCTTATTTTCAGTGGGGACTCACAATTACAATTGCCGTAATGATCACTTGTTGCAGCACATAATTTTGTTCATTCAGGAGTGCTGGCATTCATTCTTGATTGTAGTCATTTTGTGGTAGATGACTGTATTCTTTGTTGGTCCCGTGTTTCAGGAGACCAGAATACGTGCGTCAGAGAAAGACCCTCACAGTAAAGTTCAGAATATCTGTATCAGTAACCAGTATGGAGGTGAGGAGGTCACACACACGCTGACTACAGACAGCCGCGAGGACACGCACCGGTGGATGGAAGCTTTTTGGCAACATTTCTATGACATGAGTAAGTACAGAGGAAGTGTATGTGATACACCCACTACATACAGTCACTGACATATATCACCCTAGATGCTTAAAGGACTGGAGCCTTGAAAGTGACAGTTTTTCTCCAACGTACAGGCCAATGGAAGCAGTGCTGTGATGACCTAATGAAAATTGAACTGCCATCGCCAAGGAAACCGGCTCCTGTCACACCAAAACAGGGCTCACTCTATCACGAAATGGGTAAGACCTCTCCCTGGTTATATCACTGTGGATATGCGGTCAGAAAAACGTTTTTGGTCACTTTTAGCTGGAAAAGTAAAGGCAGGGAAAGAAGGCACTGTGCCCGCATTGCATGTGACTGTGTAGCTTTAATTCTTCCTTGGGTCCATGTGCATGAGAGATGCTGTGGCAATTAAATTTTTCCTCTCTCATATTTCAAACTCACACGCTGCTTTACTTCTCTGTACTGTAGATAGAATGGGTCTTATCTCTGACACGCTGACTCACTCTGTCCTTTGTTTCTCTGTCCCTCTTTGTCCTTTTCAATTTTCCCTGTGTGTCCTGAATCCATCACTCCTTGGCTTTGTCTCTTTTGTCCTTCTTTATTATTTCCTTGTGTCCTCATACATTATTCATGATCAACGCCACATTTTTCATCAACTTTCACTATTAATTTTTAACGAGCAAATTATCTTTATCCTTGAACGAATCTCTTTTTGTTCTGTCATGACGCCTTAACATTCATTTCCTCAATAAAAACGCATCAACCCTCATCGATTTCTGTCACGACCATCAAAACACATAAAAATGGAACTCCACCTGTTGCACACCTCCTATCCACTCCACCCTTTCTCTCTCCCCAACCTCCCTCTCGGTTTTCCTAACCCCCCTTGGCAGCCCCTCTTGCCACACCCTCCTGTGAGGGTCTTCTGCTGCAGGATAACGCTGTGTCTGCTGAGATTCGTGCTCTGCTCTCGTCCTATTACAACGACAGGTGAAGTAAGAGGAGTAGGGCTCCATATAAATTATGTTCTGGTAAATGTTGCAGTCCAGGATTAACTGCAAATCCAGGATCAGTAGATTAGACTCTGCAATTACAGGACAGGATCTCTTTGTTTCATCATCTTTCAGCAAAATTAACACAATCATTAAGACGTCCAAAACACAATTTGTTTTTGTTCTTTTTAAATTATCCTGCACAACTGTACAATGCAATACTACACAAAAAAGAAACATTGATGCTTCTAATCTCACTGCAGATGTCCTTATGAACTCAAGGGTAACATTTCAAAGTAACATTTCACAAACTGCAAACGTGTCTAAATCCATATTTCAAGTGAGATCAAAATATTCTTCAATTTTGAATTTAAATTCCATAATCCCTGCACTGCCTTAGAAATTTGAAAAATAGTTAGAAAGAATTTAAAATGAATCACAAATTGTGACTGGATTACCCATTTCTTGTGTCAAATAGTAAGAACTTCATTTATAAAAAACTATATTTAAGCCAAAACCAATTCTATAAATCTGTCAGATTAATAAAATCCTTGGAAAAAACAGGTTCAATCCCAGTATAGAGCAGTATAATGATGAGTTTTGCTGCATTTCTCCTGCAGTTATTGAATCATCTGATGACCTCAGCAGCACTGTGTCAGATATCCTGGCTCGGAGGATGCAGGAGCTGGAGCTCCGCAGCCAACTGGGCACCTCCCCCACGTGGATGTCTGTGTTTGACGAGAACAACCCCAAAAGCGCTGGTCGCCCCCGTCCCTGTACCTCTCGCCTTTCTGGCCACAGCCCCTGCACCCCTCATCGACTTCCCCGGAGCCCTGTAATCCCTCACCGGTGCCCGCAGCTGGGTCTGCTGTCCTCAGATGCAAGCCTGACCTCAGACAGTGACAGCCACTGCAGCACCAGTCCCTGCTCTCAACGTCACGGCTGGCCCGAGCCTTCTTCAAACTTCTCTCTCTTGTCATCATCCCCCTCCCGTCTAAGGCCACGCACTCTGTCGCTGGATGCTAAGCTCAGCACCCTTCGAGGGAGGGGATACGGAGCAGGAGGGACCTTTCAGTGCCCTTGCCAGCCTCCTCCCTCCTCGCTGCTCACCCCACTCCCCATCTCCTCCTGTTCACCTCGGTCACAGCGCAGCACACAGACCACGCTCTCCTGCTCCAGCTCCACCTCAAGCAACAGCTCCAGCAACAGTGAGGGCAGCCACAGCCCCGAGTCATCTGAGGGAGCCCCCTTCTCAAGGCCCTCCCCAGCTCGACGCAGCCTCAGGAACCTCAGGGCCAGACTTGATCCTCGCAACTGGCTCCAAAGTCAGGTGTGAACTTGTCCTGCCTGAAAGACATTTTACGCCGGCCTAAAGGCACCAGTGCTCATTAAACCATGATTTAACTGGCTAAACATATGTGAACCAACCTCAGGCAATCTGCTAGGCCACATGCACAGCTCTGAGGACGATAAGCTGCCTCTAGCCTGCCTCCTGCTGGAGGATGGATCATGAAAAACCCTCCTGGGGCAAACTGGAATGTCTTCTAACACAAAAGACAGGTGACAATCACTGCAGGCAACTCTGCATTTTGCCACAATTTTGAAGCTGGTCCAAAATTAAATAGGAGGTACTCTGCTTGCTTTGAGAAACCATGGTCTTGCTGCTTGGGAGAAAGTGACGCTAAAGAGCTATAAACTTCACATCACACTAGGCCTGCTGTCTGTCTTTGGACACTAATTCTGAAATTAGAAAAAAGGTTTTGTTTTGTCCTCTGCATCAGCCATCCTGGCCATTCAAACATGATTTCAAGGTCATCTCTATTAATGCACTAGCAGTATTTCGACTGGATGTTACCTATCTGTATTTTATAAATAAAGGTTTGCAGTGTTTATGCTATGAACGCCGGTGAGCATGTGGCAAGATGAACATATGGTATAATCAAGAGGTTTCAGATGTTAGGAACTGTTAAGTGTGGAGGGAAAGGTTGGTGTCTGTTGCCTGTACTGTGATCTACTTCAGTGTACGTATCTAATTATTCATACAGCAGATGATCTTTGTGGTTCTTTTAAAATTACTATGCACCATTTTGTTTTTTTGTTGTTTTTTTTTTTTTATGATTTGACTTACAGTTAAAATGTTGAACTACTTGAGATCATTTCAACAATGAATCCAGTGAAAGCTTAACTTTATGCAAGTGCTCATACTTACTGTACTGGTTATTACTGTGATCTCTTCAGGGTAAAAATCTGTGCTCTGGTCTTAATTTTTACACATTTATCTGCACACTATTGATAAGCTGCCATCAGAACTGGGTAATAGATCCATAGATACATAGAACAAACCCCAGAATAAACTGAAATTCACCAAAGCTTAAGTATTATTGAAAACCTAAGCCATACTTATAATTCTGCTTCACTGCCTCATTGCACTATTGTAGGATATTATGAACAGTGGTTCCTGATTATGGAATTTCCAATAAAATGTGAAACATCCACCAATCAAATGTTATGCAACGTAGAAACATTTCTTAAAAATTATTTTATGGTGGCTGTATCGTAGGCAACTTTCTATGAAACCGAGTACTAACTTTAAATCCCAGTCAATCATTAGGTTATGATAGTAAGAGCAAGAATAAAATTGTTTGTTTACAATGCCACCTGTTTTTTTAATTATGTAAGTTATTGTAATTTAGACAACTATTAACAACAGAAACATTCTACTGAAGGCGTCCGTGTGAAAACAAATCTTATAGGAGAGTATGTCAGTGCAGTAAAGCCTCTTCTTCCCTCTCTTTGTTGTTTACTGTAGATTTGACTTTGGTAACAGTTTCCCTCTTGGGGCTCAGAACTCTGGCGATCATTTCTACTAAACTGTCAAATGTTTGAAAAAAACAAACAAGCATTTGTTACTGTAAATTAATTTTTATAAGTTAACAAATAAACCTCCTCTCTTTGTCTTTTGTTACATTATTGATTTTGTTATAAATGCAGCTATATTGATACCTGATTATCATAATGTTAACAGATGATGTGCAGATCTTTTAACTGTTACAAATAGATAACATTGAATGTTATAACATTGCAAGAGTTTCCCGTGTTAGCAGGCTTTGTGTTCTGCATGAGCACCGTCCTAGAAGGCAAACATAAAATGAGAAATGTGGAAATCTCATGTTAAAATAATATAACATTAATTATAATAAATGTTTTATCAACTCACCACTGAGTCTGTTTCTTCACACAATCACATAATTTTTGTCTACATGAAATACAATCTTTTGAACTCTTCAATAAATATTACTTGTAAATCTATCAATGGTAAGGCCTATTAAGTTCAAATCAATAATGCTATCTTACATTTTGATATATATGAATACCTTACTTGCTCATAATAACACTGTAGCACAGAATACATCAACATAGACTGCTAACAGGCAAACACCCCACTGTATTTAAATACTGTATGATATACTACAAAAGTAGGTTCAGGGAAACATCATTTCTCTTCCACCATGCAAACGTTTTCCTGCAATGGAAGGGCTTTCTGTTAGATCAGTAAGTACTCTGCACTTTGAGCATATGATGGATCGCATTCTATCCCGTTCTGTTCGTCACTCTCTCCCTCCGGTGACAAATCCCACAGGAGATCCTATCTTATGTGAAATGAAAAATTCCATATAGAAGCTATAGAAGTTGTCTGTCTTGTAGAAGCATCAATAAAGGCAGGTAGATCAGATGCTTTATTGTCAATGTTTGATAGCAAAGCCTTTAGATTTGTCAATAGTACAAAGCACTGTTACAAACATAGGAGGTAGTCGACACTAAGTCTTCACTGAGCATTGTAAAATGCATAGAGAAATACCATGGCCATATTGACTCTGTTTCAAATGTCTCAGGAGAACCTAAAGGTCCCTGCTTTCTGTCTGCGGTGCAGTGTTGTACCATTGTTGTGCTATTGTAACAACTGCCTAAAGTATAAAAAAACATACATATAATCATATTCAACCCAACAAATACATATCCATCTGAATAGAACAGAATCACAATAATAAATACTTTATATTATATGCTTCATATGATGCTGATTATTGACTTATGTAACCCAATAGGGGAATTTTACACAAAGTTTGGCAATTATATGATTTTTGTTGGATTACATAAGTAAATGAACAATGTTACATCAAGTTACAGATAAATGAGGGGTGTCTCCCCTCCCCTCCTCTCTTCATCCTCTTTCATGTCCTCCATGTTTAAACATTTTCTTTGTGCACTTGTGCTTCCTCCAACTCCATGATCCCCTCTCATTAGCAGGCGCTCCGTGGATTACATGCCCGCAGAGCCACCCCAGCCAGAGTACTCCAGGCAAATGTGGAGAACTTTGCAGGGCACGTTCCAGCTCTGCTGATATATGAGGATGCAATCCGATGAAGCCGCTTCGCACCAAATGTGTTGTAGTGTCCTGGGAGGACTTGGTCAACCTGTTTAACAAATTTGCCAGTTGTCAAACACTTCAAATTATGTACTGTACATGCTACACAAATGAGTAAATCATAAGTTGTGGCACACTAAAGCACCATTTCTCTGGGTACCAACTGTATCCATCAGTACATGGTACATAGCTCAGATTTAAAGGTGAAGAAGCTGTAAAACCAATTCTGGAAAATCTTTTGATTTACATGGCATTTACTTTTTTTCTTTTTTCATTCCTAACATACATTTGCTAGAAAATCATTGGTAAAATTTAAAAGTTACAGAGGAAGAAGAAAAGTCAGCTCAGCACCTAAAATGTACATATAATGGACACTTCCGGGTGACATTTTCATTATGAATCTAATGTATAAACTATGGGATTGGATTCCCTGTGCATCAAAGCTCAATTAATCTGACCCAAGACACAGGAACTATGAGCAGAAATTGTTAGGCCACAATCTATCGGGTTTACCTGTTCGCTGTCCACCAGCCCCACCAGGCGTTCACAGCTGCTGATGTAGTCACTGACGTGGCTATAGGGCAGCCAGTCAATCATGGAGCCATCATACACTACATCTCCACTGAAAAGCAACTTATTGTCATGGTCATGGAGGCAGATGCTGCCGCGAGAGTGACCGGGCATGTGGAGCACGGTCAGCTGTCTATCACCCAGGTTGATGACATCACCTATACAGGAGAGAGGGAGAGATGGGATCATATTTTCACAATCATTCACACACAAAAACACAGTATAATTTCCAATTTCAAGCCCATATGCGTCCCATTCCCAGACTTACATCCAAGCTAAGTCCTTATGTTCTGCCACAATTTGGCTGGCTGAAATTAAGCCTTGTAGCACTATGGTGTACAGAGTCTAGGCCATTCTGCATATAACTGATTTAGTCCAGAACAGGTATAAGTCACACTGTGTGACAGGAGGGTGAAACTGACACGGCAAGCAATGAGATATTCCATCTGCACTGCAGCAGTGTCTCTGACACAGCAGAACAAGTCTGTGTATTGACCGACGGTGCAGAAATTACACTCTATAAGAATGCTACAGATGCTAACAGGTTAGGTTTTGGTCCAAACTTCAACAAAAACAAAGCTGTTCATCCCAAATGCATCATCCTTTGTGATATAAGCTTTGTGCAGCAACAATCAGTAAATTATTGTTGCAGAATGTGAGTTTAATATCTTAGTGATTGATCTGGTCTACTAAAAGCACAGTGGGTGATTGCTAATGCAGTGCTGTGAGGTTAATATCTGTGGGAGCTTTCCATAAGTGTGAACCCTCTGCATGCTCTTCTTCTTTCTAGGCTTGGAAGTAACTTAACATAAAGTCATCAGCACACAAGCTTAAAATAGACTTGCTCCACAAATAAGAATGAGCACTGATTGTTGTTGATGCCAACAAAAAAACAATTAATTGTCACATATTGAATCTGATGGTATGTATAAGGCATTTACACACTGGCAAACACCATATATTGTAGCCCTGTCTAAGCAAATACAACATCCTTTATAACATAAGCTATGTGCCCCATCCATCATGCAGTACCCCTCATCTCATATGGTACCTCTCCACTGCCTCCACTACAGGTGCTACATGCCTGTATATGTGAAGGCCATGTGTGTGTCTGCAATCATTTAGCAAGTCATTTTTGGTCTTGTGTAAAATTCATTGTGCGGTGAAATGCTCCTGCGGGTATATAAAGGCTTCTGCACAGAGAATAATGTGCACTCTGTAGCTACTGAGTCCAGGCGCACCCACTGAATATCGTCTAATGGTATCGACCATGATGCTTATCTCTTGGCAAATGCATTTAAACCTTACGACCTGGCCTTTAATCACAAATCTACTGACCTACAATAAATCATATCTGCAAATTCTCCTACCGACCTTCCTGCAGTATGTGCGTGGGCTGCACAGCCTTGACTTTGTAGTGCCTTGCCCTCCATCCTGGACTGGGAGCCTCGGCTATCTCCCGATCGCTGAGCCAGGTGACCGTCTCGAAGTTGTCCCCGTTGGCCAAAGCATCGACCTCGGCGCTGTGGACGCCCACCTGTTGGAACTGATGCAGACCGCCCGAGTGGTCGAAGTGGGCGTGGGTGGCGATGGCCAGCAGCGGGTTCTTCCTCTGCGGATCTTTGCCCAGCAGCCCCTTGCCGTCGATGTAGTCAGGTAAGCTCCTCAAGCCCAGACCAGTGTCTATCACCACGTCCTGGTGCGAGCCCCGGAGCAGCCAGATGTTGGCCCGGTTGTCTGACTGGTAGAATCGCTCCTGGATCCAGAATAGTCCGTCTCCGAGCGATTTGTGAGCGTACCAGTCGGCTGCAGACATCCCAGTTCATGCACTTGTCGAAGCAACCTGCTCCGGGTGTCGTGCTGTCAGGTGTTTTTCGGCGGAGAGGTGTAAACTAGCCCTTTAGCTAGAGGTGATATGTTTTCATTGAGGTTAACGTGATGGTGGCCGCTGACACACCCTTGTTGCAGGAGAGCGTGCTCATTGGGTGAGCAGCTGAGTGACGACAGACTGAAACGCGCTACTATTGGCTGTAAATAGGTCACGCCTTCTCAAACGTCACGGAGGGGCGGGGCGACCTAAAGCCACATTTACGCATAGTGCTGAGTAGTGTGAGCTGAGGTTTGTGTTAGCAAAGCAGTACAAACTCTCCATCAGGTTTTTCCTGTACATTTTGCGATTTCAAGAGTTCGTTTTCGTGCCGAACAACTAAAACGGAGTAGTTGAATGTTAATGACAAGTAAACTCGAAAAGTGTAAACATGGAGACTTAGCAACGGCTAAATGCCGCTGAATAGCCCTGTATTACACAGACTTTTAGGATTTTACGTCTCCACATTAGTCCCATAGTGAGTATACCAACTTATTGTGTATTGTCTAAGTCTCTTGTGTAGTATTTCAGTGTTGACTAGGGGGCAAAGTCAGACAAAAGGCGATGAAAGCTGTGGAACATGAACTTCTTGTGTGTACACGTGTTTGATAGTGAAGTTGACTGGAGACATGTGGACTCTGTGCTGCAGGTACAGAGGAGGCTTGCAGCCATGGCAGGCAAGGGTCGTGGAGTAGCTGCCTTCACATTCAACATTGAGGCTCTGGGCATCGGCAGGGGCAGCATGCCAGAAGCCAGGGTGGGGCCCACTCCGCTGTTTCCAGTAAGTACTGACCACACACACACACACAAATGGAGAGAACCAACGACGACATATCACATTGCAGTATTTTAAATTCATCTATAAGTCCTCAGAGAGGGAGGAATTCTGCAGGAAACCTTTCTGCAGGTGAAATCTGCATGAAATTTCAAAAGTAGACTTTAGAAAATGTGTAGGTTATATTCTGATCTATTTAAATAATGTTGTATTTGCATGAATAAAATAACATTAATATTAATATTCATCATGGTAATGTGAAGTGCGTGCACCACTTTAAGAGCAATGTCCCATTAAGCATCTCTTCCCAGAGCCCCCACCCCCCCCATAGCAGACAAACTTTCAGTTGCTGTAGGATGCTTCTGTTTCTGCATGATGCAGCAAATCAGGGGCCACAAGGAAAAAATGAGTTTGGGGCCCCAGTTGACTCCCATTCCTCATACTTTTTGTGCGTTGTGCTTGTTTCCTCTTGTATTCAAATACATTACACACAGCACATTACACATAACAGCTTCAATATGTTTTGCGCACAGGCCCAGAGGCCAACTATGATATTGTGATTTGGTGGTATATATTCCCAGACAACTTACAACAAACCAATACTGGGGGGCCCTTAGGAGCAAACCTTTTGAAAGGTGTGTGTAATATAATACATAACACGTCGCAAGTCCCCATGACAACTGATTCTCCAATTTTAATAACTTTATCTCTAACCACTCAATATTTTGAGACAGCTTTTTCTTATTTCTACCAAAAGGGCTGTGCACCATTATTTGGTAGGTTGACATTCAGCCTGGGGTTTATTTTAGTTGTCCCCTACATCATTTCGTTCAGTCTATGATCTTTTAAGTATAGGATTCATTAAGTACAAACTTGTACATAATTCTTCTGTAAACAACCAGTGTAATGACACTCAGAATTAAAATGTAATACTGAAACTGCATCAATAAATGCATGGATTTTTCTGAATGCTGACACATGTTCTCCATAGTGCAATTATCTCCTTTCTACCATCCATCTTCCTCCAGAACACAGACTTTAAGCCAGTTCCGCTGAAAGCTGGCGAGGATGAGGACTACATGCTGGCCTTAAAGCAAGAGATGAGGGGGACGATGCAACGGCTACCACACAACATCAAGCCTCAGACCAATAAAGCAGGTGAGGGGGAGTGCGTTAGAAACCTGGCATCTAATAGAAATGCTATGGCAAGACAATTGGCTACTGTGAGGGAAGATAATGCAGCACTTAGGAACTGAGACATTTAATAAGGGTGATATCTGGGAAAGGCAGTTTTCTGGCAGAATATTGAGTTACAGCTGCTGCCTACACTGACAGTTTTAATATAATTTCTATGGTCTGGCCTGATAGGGCCTCTTAGAATTCTCTATTCAGGGAGAAGCTAAATATATCCGTATGTTGTGGATTTATTTATGATGTAATTACACTGGATAAATCATGTATCATCAACAATTGCTCACTCTATATTCAAGCACCCAGTGGTTTGTGTTGATTCAGTCATGGTTCTGATTAACGTATGTGATGTGAGAGCGAATTGGGACTTGTTTAAGAGTGTACTGAAGCAGGACTTTCTCTTGTTTACATGAAACAGAAGTGGAGAAATACACAGAGAGATACCTGAAGCAAACCCAGATGGATGATGAGGAATGGGCTCCAGGTACTTGCGTAATATACTGTCATGTGATTAGAGGAAGTTCAGAAAAAAATAAAATAATGCAAATACTATTATAATATTTTATAGACTGGAACCTCTTCCCAAAAGAATTGATGCCCCAGAAGAAAAAACCTCGTGCTAAACCAGGTATATTAAATCCATTGTGTATGTATGAGATTCTGTCTTATGGCTGTACGAATAAACCCCAAATGCTTAAATCCAACAGGCATAAAGAAGAAAACTGTGAAGATATCACGCAAAGACACAGAGAATATACTGAGCAAATTAGAAGTAAGCCTTTCTTCACTTGTTCAAAAACTGAGCATTACATGTACTGTTCATTTTCTCTTGATGTGATTTATCAAGTACCTATTTATGAAAGCCTGGCGTGGTAAAAAAGAGCTCAGGGTGTAAATGTACGCACCAAGAACTATGTTTGTCTGTTTTAGATAGCAAATGTTTTACATAAGTAATTTCACCTTAATGTCAATATTTCAGGAACTGGCAAAGAAAGATGAAGGGAACCCTGAAAAATCTGATGATGAGACGGAAAAGAAGACAGGGAACAAGGATGAAGAGGAAGAAATTGAAGCAGAAGAATATGAAGAAGAGGATATTGAAGAGGTTAGATTACTCATGATAATCTGAAATTTGTTAAATCCAAATGTAATATGGTCGATATGCAAGAAGCTGAGTTAATATTTATCTGTTTGCTCTGTTTCTCTGTAGGACAACGATTACATTGAAAGCTATTTTGACAATGGCGAAGACTTTGCTCCAGACAGTGATGAAAATATGGATGGCGAAGCAACATACTGAGACAGTGTGACTCATCCAAGCAAACAATCACTATGTGATCGTGTCTGTTGGTTATTATTGGAGATAAGCTGGAAAGAATGTTTATAAGAGTAATGGTTGTTTGCTTTGTTTTGTTATATATTGAGAGGCAAGCTTTCTTTACGGACTTAATGTAAATAAGAAATGCCAACTATGTGTATACTGGCAATAATTTATTCAAAATAGATGTATTTATTTTCCAGCCTGTAGCACATTTCCACAGGTTGAAAGGCACGTACTGTCAACAACACGTAATTTTTTTCATGAAGTGTCAAGCAACCACAGTGATAAAATAAAAGAGCTATATAACAGAGTCTAAAATTTCACATAATTATAAGTATGAGTCATTGTGGGAATACTGTGCATTTCCCCATTTTCCTCACCATGCTCTTTGAGGTTTTTTGAAATTAAAAACAAAAACAAAAGCACTTCTCTCCAGGCAAGCTAAAGGATAAGAAAAAATTTCAACCACTTTCATGGAAATTCTCAAATATTATTTGAACTCCTAACTCCAAATACTGATAGTGTAAGTAAAGGCTAATGCTCAATAGTCTTGAAATAAATTAATTCTATATTAAACACAATGGCAGCAATAGAGTTTGAAAAAACATAATTTCTAACAGGGCAAAAATGGACCAAACAGAGTTAAAAAACCGCTTTAAAATCAAATCCACATAATTCTTCTCATAATGATTCTCTCAGGGTGTGGCCTGTGGCTACTGCTCCAGGTTGCTGTGTGTAGTTCACTGAGAATGCATCAGCACTGATGATAGTACAAACATCACCTCAATTCCATTGGCTACACTGATAATAACAACTCTGTAATGTATCCATCATTTTTTAAAAGTTCAGCCAAGAATAACATGTTAATTTCAGCCCATTTATACCTTTGTAAATCATATAAATGTCAATGGACAGACACAAGGAATGACTGTGGCCACACCCTTACTTAGTCTCTCAACCCTGTGAAAATGACTGTATAAAGTGATAGCCTCAGTCAGATAAATTGCATTGATGTATTAAATCTATAAAAACTACTCAAAATGGGAACATCCACCCAGTTTTATTACGTCTCTGAGTTAGCAACACATCTGTGTGTAAAGTTTGAATCCCTTATGTTTTCTCATGCCCTCTGTGTTTAACGTCTCCTGCTTTGTCCACACTGGGTCCATGTGGATCTCCAATAACCACATTTCCATTAAGAGGCTCAGAGCCAGCCCCTGCATGGTTGTCTTCTCCAACAGGCTGGTCCAATATTTTGCCATGGAGATGTCCGTGAGGCATGTCGCCATGAGCTGGTGTAGGAATGCCATGATGGCTGACATCAGATTTCACGAGAACCTCATAGTACAGCAGATAAAACACGGGCGTGACGATGCCTACAACCAGCATGATTGCCACAGCTGTCCACCATCTCATGCCCCAGTCTGCTCCATAATAAGGGTCCTTTCTCTGTGCTGGTTTATACTCTACTTCTCCTAGCAGTGGCTGCTGTTGCTGCAGTGTTAAGGAGGACACAACCTCATTCAGACTGCTCCGAGACGGACCTGTGGATTTCACAAGCCGCTCGATGTCCTTGTCCTTCTCCAGGAGGAATCCTTCCACACTGTCGGTGGAAGAAGAAGAGTCTGTGGAGGACTCAGAGGGGAGGGAGGTAATGGAAGAGATCTGGGTCAAGCGCCTGGCACCTGAGGGGGAAGCAGATTTGAGAGGTGCAGCGCTGTGAGTCTCAGTGAGAACGCTAAAGCGCCTCACAGGAATCTTGACTGACCGTAGAGCAAAGAAGTCCTGCTCTGTCAAGAAGTTGTTGGCACGCTTTATATCAGCCACCTAGGAAACACAAGAAATATATATTTATTATGCTGCCTACAGACACAAATTGCTATTTTACATTGACTGATATTCTGGATTCTCAGTCAACCACTAAACCAGAATGGCAGCCTTTGTGCTTTGCTGTTGCAAAGAAGAATGCGCAAAACATGTATCAATTGCAGTGATTTGATTTAATACAAGAAATTACTTGTAAAGTAAAGCTACCTAAATTAGTATTTAGGAGTTATTAATTAAAGTAATTTACTACTGAGACCTCTCAACTCAATTGAATATGTTCTAAATGTGTTTTTGCAACTGTACCAATCAAAGTGAATCATATTTAGTATGGAAAGAAAATCATTTTAATTAGGCTGTCTATTGTACACTTGAATTATTTTACATACGATTTGGGAACCCTATTAAATAACTTATTATTTATATTTTATACTTTCTACAATAATGTGTTTTTTGGCCTCTCAGGCAAAATTATCATTCACAAGGAGTCGTGTTTTCTGGCCACGTGGTGAATTTAAGTCCAAATCATTCTCTTTTTGGCTCTGTTTTTGGTTTCTACCAAGTACTTAGGAAAATATCTGGCTTTAGCTACAGAATGTTCCATTATGTTACCAACTAGTCGCTGTCTGCCATTTGGTGCCGAGCTAGTAGTGTACAGTGGGGTTTTGTAGTGGTTTTTCGCTGATAACCGTTGTCTGCTGAGGCCAAAAACAATACAGAGAGTGGTAAGAAGAAACCAAAACAGTAAATCTGCGGGCCAGAAGACAACTAAACAATGTGCTGAGACTTTCCATAAAGCGAGAGGAGCTGAAGATTAATCTGATAATTCTATACAGGCTAATCACTACAAGTGACCTCTTTAATCGCATTTTAGAACGACAAAGTCGTTTCACATTGACGCTACATCTCTATTGTTACACATTTATTATAATAAACTGTTTGACTGTTGGTTAGATAAAGTATTTATTTTGAGGGAATTATTTGAGACTCTGGTAACTAGTATTGTGCATGTCTTTTTTATAATTCTATAGACTAACAAATGTATAAATGTATAATTTGCGTAAAGGGCTAAGAACATTTGTGTATACGTGTAATGTAAAAGAAGCAATAAGATCTAAGTCTACCTCAACATGGAAATGAAGGAGAGAAAGAAAGACAGATGTGTGTCTGTCTTTCTGCATACATGCAAACCCACACACACAGGTCAAAGCACAGACGTACAGAGCAATGGTACTGCAGGGCAATGCTGTTCAGGGTGTCACCCTCCTGGATATCTCTGGTCAGGTAGATAATATCCTCCATCCTCTCTCTGGAGGTGCTCCTCCGTAGCCTCTCCCTGCCACGTGGCCGCAGCTCATAACTCTCCCCATCCTCCTCTGATAGGTCGTTCTCTGAGCCATTGTTCCCAAACAGATAGGCATGACCGCCATTCGCAGGCTGCACCATGGTGGCTGTCTGGAATCCATAGTGCTGGCTTCTATTGGACATTTTTTCTTCACTGTGTGGGGAAGAGCAGAGATAGGCTTGAGTACCAAATCCTGAACTTGAACAGCATATTCTTTGGGAATACCAGCAAGGTATTCTTTACCCTGAAGGAAGATAATACAGAAAACACATTTGAACTAAGAAGCTGCTTCATTGAGTCTAACAACTAAATGCTAATTTAAACTCAATGAATATCTTAAACCAATATTTGTTCATGCAAAGCAAACAAGCTATGATGCCACTGTTTTCACCAGTAGACAGCATAGTGGAAAAAATTACAGAGGACGTCTTTATGAAGAACTATCACACTGTACCATTACAGCTATCAGTGTCATCCCAAATGTGATCACTGTGTCACAACAACTAATAAACACTGAATGAAAGCTGGCCTATGTAAATGCTATGACAGCATACAAGACCAAACATGTATGCCTTTCTCTGAAACCAGCAGTCAACAGGTGCAGGCGGAAGCGAACTTCACTTACAAACAACAAACTACAGTCTGTCTGTCTGTCTGTCTGTCTGTCTGGTAGTCCTGAGACTTCAAACTAGAGTTACCGTGGATAAGATCGGACCTCTTCCAATATGATAAGCGAGATTACAGGCAGTACATTCAGTCTTCACGATGTCAAGGTCCTCTGTTTATGTAACGTTACATGTCTGCTTCATTAACCATTACGTCCACGGGAACACCACCAGCCGATGTGGTATCTAGTCAGATAACGTTTCCCTTATTCCCATAGCACAGCTGTAATCCATAATCAAAGCAGACTTCACTCTGAGTTATTGATTACTTTAAACTAAATGCCAGATAACATTATCTGACCAACCTCAGGGTGATGCTAGCTGAGTTAGCAGCTAGCAATCGAAAATGTTAACCAGAAGCGCACAGAGATTCATCTTCTTCAACAAACACCCAGAAGTGTGATTAACTAATGGTAGCTAAACTTTGCGAAGCGTTACTGTGGCTCAAATACCAGATTAGCTACGCAATTAATATGTCTACACAACAACATAGCTACCTAGTGCTACACATCACTCTCCCCGGTCGATACCGTTATCCAACCGGAATAACGGTGTAACTTTACATACACGTCGGTAAAGGCCACCAAATGAACGTCTTTAACGAGCTGTCCGGTTGGTCTTGTACCGATACGAGTGCGGTGTAAAGCGAGAAGCATTTGGACATGCTAGGCTAACGTTAGTGCTAACCAGGGTTCACATTATGTTAACGTTGTGTGGCTCGTAACGTTTGTACATCTCCATCGGTCAGTGGTCCCAGCTGCTCAATGATATCACCGGAGGAACAACCCTTACCTGAAAAGGTGAACACCGATCAATCAGTTGACCTAAATAATATCCATACTTCCACGGGAGTAGCTTCGCTCTCACCTTGCCTTTGGCTTGTTAGCAACCTACCTGCTAGCTACCGTTGAATTGCTACCGCTCACGCCACGTCAACAGAATATTTACGTAATGACGTATCCACGAACGCCTCTAACGCAGCGTCAGTCGCGAGATGGCGCTAAAGGTCAAGTTAACGCGGTTAATAATTGCTGGCGTCCGCACAGTTCAGGGTTTTGGATTAAAGTTTGTAATGGTTATTTTTTATCGATCAGCCAATTTCCTGCATTAACTACCCTGTGAATTAAAATCCAAGCTATCCAGCCAGAGAAGATAATATAATAACATGATGGTTGATGGACCACTATTATATGTATATTACCGCTATTAAACATACAGAAAGTGAAGTAGTGTAGATCAGTAGTAGATTTTTTAAGTTACTTATGATTAAATACACATTTTACAAATTTTTTGTGGAGAGAAAGCAACATAGGGGGAACAACAGCCAGCATGAGGACACCTTACTCGGGGGCTCGATGCCTGTTCGGTTCGCAGGGTGGAGCTGTCCACCGCCACACCGAGCACCCTTGAGAGACAAATGGGATTAAAACATCTTGTCTCATTAGGCAGCGACCGGAGGACGAGCTGGAGTCTCTGCATTAGCTGCAAACTTGTGTTTCTGCTGGATCAGTGAGTCGTGTGTGTGTGTGTGTGTGTGTGTGTGTGTGTTGTGTGTACAGTAGCAGTAGCTCTCACATGGCTGCAGGAGCCGGGACCTGTGTGTAGAGAGAGGGGAGAAGGTCCTGAACAGACAGGGGAAGCGCTCCGTCTCTTGTTATTTCTCCCGGCTTCAGTCCCGTTAGATGACATAACGCGCTTCATCCCATGTTGTCCACCGGGAACCCAAAAGCTGCCGAAGGGAAGAAAAAAAAACCGAATTGAGAAGGTTTTTGTTTTTTTTATGAAACAATATGATGCTGTTGTTGGCTGCAGTTTGAGAAGGAGCTGAAGACCCTGGGAGCACTTATCGATGTTATCCTCAGCAATAGATACATTATAGTAATTTATCTTGGACAGAGAGGCCAAGCAAGGTGTCAGGTAAGTCGGAAAGATTCATTTCATGTCTTTCCTTAATTATACTTCTGTTTGTCATTGTGAGTGAGTGTCTATAGCGCCGGGTGTCTGTCGATCAGCCAAACTTTGCTGGATAATTTCAGAGAAAGATCTGCAAGACGGTATATTGCTTTGTTGACACATGGTTACACCGTCTCTGGGGACAATGCAGACGTCTTAGATTTATTTTTCAGTGAGTGAGTCAGTGATGATTGGTGACTCCAGACGCTATTGCCAGCGTTAGATTAATAGTGCATAGAATAAAGGAGACAAATGAGTAGCGATACTCCTCATCAATTATGCCAGACAGCTCAAGCAGACATATTGTATAACACTATAAGAAAACGATTAAAAGTGGTTGGCCACTGCTAATTTCTTTTTGCATTGTGCCAAAAATACCCCTTGGAGCAGCTAATAAAATTGAAAAGCCTAAATATTGATTCAGCGCAATCAGTAAATGAATGGCCGGGTAGCCCATTGAGGACGGAGACAAACGCTTCCATGGTTACATCCAGGATCTCCAGTGTGATTACTGCGCTTTGTGTGGGTTTTCTCTCTCACACTGAAATAAAACAACAATTCAGGGGGAACTGCCACACATGGTGAGCTGGAGACCCTCTCATAAAGGCACCGTTGACTAATCTATAGGCTTACTCTGGCTATAAGTAATCTTGGCACACTTTGAGTTGCGCACATGTGCTGTTACTGTTAAATCAACGAGTGGTGCCCGGAGCCTCATTGTGCTGCTGCTTCTTTGCGTATTTTACGCGGATGTCCAGGCTCCATACTTTACACCAGTTGATGGGGTGGGGTTTTTCAGTCTGAATATGTCCACCTTATCTCTAATTGATTTGACATGATGTCATCTTGGTGCGTCCCTTGCAAATCTCTTTTGTTGCCTCCTCTGTGGTGCCTCAGCAGAGTTAAATCCTTTTTCTCACTGGGGAGGAAGGGAGGGAGCTGCCTCTGTATCTATTCAGCACTTACACCTGCTCTTCCTCAGCGCCAGCCTTCACTGTTAACTGTCTCTGAAATGTATCTTTGTTTAAAGGGTCACATTGTTGAAGCAGTTAGATGATTGCAGTCTCTCTCCCCTTTGTTTGCAATGAAGCAACAAAACTTGCCATGAAAATTTCACAATTTTATTTCCTCATACCTACAATCTCTATTTCCATCATCACAAACCCACAGGTCAGTCTGTTAGTCTCTTTTTTTTTTGTAGATTTGGATCCTCTAAGATCCACACTTGCTCAGAGCTCCGGTCCTTTGTTTGTCTGTGTTTATGTCATCGCCTGGCAGGGGTCAGCCCCCAGTCGCCTGTGTGTAGGGTCTGAATGTGATTCACTGGGCGGAAACTGTTTTACTGCCTGCCTCTCTCTCCTTCTGTCTCACCCCTCTAATGGCTGCGCAGTACAAAAGGGGACAGTGCTATAAACAGAGCCTGTTCATTGATGAAAGGTGCTGAAGTGTTGCACATTGCAGACAGAATGAGATTGATGTTTGCTGGGGATGAGAGGGCTTGCGTTCCCAGCGTGTGGGGATAGAGAAAAATAGTAAGTGAAGGCACTGCTCTATACATACACTGAACCACCTTGCAACAGGCTGTGCCCGCCTCAGCTGATCTGTGCACCATGGATCACTGTTGGGGGCAAGAGTTGTAAAGGAGGTCTTTATCTGTTGAATGGAGGATATTTGTAAAGTTCTACACTAGTTCCATATTTCTTCTTAGACATATCTGTGCTAGTTATGCTGAAATACAAGTCTTACCATATCCTATTTAATAATCATATGAAAAGTAAGGCTTGAAGAGATGAATGTTATTTTCTATAGCACATATTATTACAAGTAAACACAATGCCAAAGGTTATACTTTCGGTAAATTTTTTTGTGCAAAAATGGCAGAAAATTATTTTTTTTAGCCACTCAAATATGGAGATTTTCTGCTTTTCTCTGTGTAATATCATATTAAACTGAATATCTTTGGGTCTTCGACATACAATGCAAGAAATTTAAAGACATCACCTTAGACTTTGAGAAACTGGGATGGAAAGGTTTAATTATTTTCTGACATTTTATAGACCAAACGTGTACTTGTTTAAAGTAGAACATAATTAGCAGATGAACCGATGATTCAAATAATCATTAGTTGCTAAACCTAACCCTATAGTTTTCTTCTCCTGGTGTGGGAAGAGAAAACCAGCAGACCTATACCCACTATACATGGATTATTAGTTATGGTCTGGTTTTCATTTCCACACCTTGAGAGGATAAAATGTTGCACCTACTTCCCCACTTCTCCCTGAAATTACCCTATAACTAACCTTTCAGATGTACCATGCAGTAGAACAATTCATAATCCTTTGGTGCAAGACAGATGTATACCATAAACCTGCCCCCTTTTCACTATGCTGGGAGCTGACTGGGCTCACTGAAAGCTTGTTTGAGTGTCTCAACCATAGGTGTTAGCTTTTTTGAAACACCAAACCAAATTCTCTAGATCAATTGATTCTACATACACTTGTGCATGCACAGTTGAGAGATGTAAAAGGTTTCCCCATATGTTTTAAATACAGTACACAATGCTTGAGAGACTGAGAAGAAATAATTGGGAGCAAAGAACCCTGAGGAAAATTGTACATTTAAACTGTTCTGTTCTCTACATGGTGATTAGATTTTAGGTATCAGAATCTCAGAGACTTCGAGATCATCATTCTAAAACAGAAATTAGCCATCTCATTCAGTATGTGGTGTTATTTAATTTTATTGCTTCTTGATAACATGTGTTAGTAAAACTAACTCTCTTAACATTTAATAGACAGGGAGCATGAAGAAAATCCAAATGCCGAAAATGTCTAACATCAGCACAAGATAAAAGAAAGTGATCTACACCACTCATAAAATTGAAAATAATTATAAGGCTAAGATCATTATGTTGCATTTGCTAATTTCAGTATGCTCCCCCAGCTACAAATAAGACGATAGTTTCTGCATATCTTTGTGTTGTTTAACTTGATCAGGATTATCAGATCTGATGCCAACATGTCTGGAAACCCTGATAAAGTTGATTTTAGATTTAGTGAATGGTCAAATTCAAGTCGTAAATAAGTCTTTTATAATGTTATCTTGGATTGGAATACTTTGTTTTCAAAAATCATTTGACAGTTCATGCTTACGCACAGCAGACAGTATCATGTTTTAGTAGTTGTTGTCCTTGGCGCAGAGGGACAGGAAAGTAGTGGGCCCTCAGCGATGGCCAACAATCCTGAGGTCTCTTTAGTGGGCCTGACCAACCACATATTGTTCCCGGTGAGATGATGCTAGTACGTTCGCTTCAGCAAACCCTCGGCCATGACCTCGCTGTCAACTCTCATAATTGCACTCTCATACATACACTCACGCATGTACACATACATGGACACTTATTGTTCCGGCGCTCTGCAGGGGCGATGGGGAGCTCTCCTACAGCTGCCCGGCATCTCCATTCGAGTATTAAACTTGAACTCTGACCTCTTGTGATGTTAGTAAAGCCGGTGGCCTCAGATAGGCCAGCCCCACAGCATCTCCTACCTGCTGTGCTGAGTATAATGCATGACCAGTTCCTCTGTTTACAATGATCAAGAAAAAAATCAATAACAGTTAAACAAGTGATTTCTAATATTTTTGTAATATGTTCAGCACATTCTATCGTAATAACGTTTAAATTCAGTTAAACTAAAGCAGCTATTTTTCATTTCAACTTGCAAACTGCATGGAAAATCAGTGCAGGAAGCACACAGAGCAACATCCTTTTCTCAGATGTCAAAACATAGTGAAAAGTAAAAGAACATTTAGAAAGGCTGTTTCCTCTGGCCTCTGGTTCACATTAGCTTGGCTAGACTCTGTACAAATTAAATTAAGTCTGTTGAAAGCAGGAATTCATTTTTCTCTTCTTTTTTTTGATCATTGAATGACTTATTATCCCTTAGCGATAAACCTGCTCCACAGCCTTATTTGATAAATG